GCCAATTTGAGACAGACAGCTCCATGCTCCTGTTACACTTTCCCCCAGAGAGTGCTCGAATCAAGAAAGAATGCGTAGATTGTTTCGTAGCTCAAATAAGGTAATATAACTAAGCGTTACCCTCTTTTGATGATTGATGCAAGGGTGTCATCCATGACGGTAGCTGAAGATAAAAAGTTAGCCTCGCTTGTAGATAGATGATAATTGTGTGGAAATGGCTATATCGACTATTTCAGGTAAAAGGGAGTAATATCATCCCTAGAAACTGCACCAGGATTACGCAAGTCACAAATGCTCACGAAAGCAAATTCTTCCGTACAAATTGGTAAAATCAGTAGATCCGACATCGTTCCATGCTGTAAAATACTGACAGTACTACCGGTAAGTGGTCGGTCAGCTCCGACTTGGCGGAGTATTTGAAGGTGAGTATAAAACCTGAACAAAGCACTAATGAAGCGCTGCATGCACTGGCGCTCTGCTTTAGGGTAAGTGTACCTGTGAGTGATTGCCAAGGGCTGCAATGTAACCTAACCTAGCTCCTGTCAGTGCCACTCAAATTTACCCTTTCAATGCGATTATTCAAGGTCAACATGTAGCAGAGGAATGCTGTGAGAAATTGACGTGAGGAAGGTAAAATCGGTGATTTCGGAGTTTTTCCCCCTACCCGTTATACAAACTCATCTCCCGCAATTCAGCTTCCACATTGTTCACGTGCAGTTCTCTTCATAACACTCATTCCCCTAATCTCATTTGCGTTCTGAACGGTCGACACTCAGGACGACTTCACACAGTCTCACGTCTTCAGTCATTAGGTAATGTCCGTCTTCAAAGGTTAAATTGAGCATTGTCTTGATGGATGCGGTTAGCTAATTCACCTAACTCACCCTAAAGGTAGGTTTGGCTAAATTGTTACATAGCCTCCTCGTCTCTTTGAGTACCGTCCCCGTCTAGCGAAGCGTTGATGTGGGGGTAATGGAAGGGTATCCTTCTTTGTTACTGAGTTCAGCTTTCTTTAGTTGGCTCGCAGCCGTAGACTTTCGTCTTTATCACCAGAGCAAATTGTGCTGCCCGTGGTAACTTAGGTGGCTTTATGATCTCGTCTCCGACCATCATTTCAACCAGACGCTCTTTTTCTTCCAACAGAGGAGGTATTGCATCTGGATGACTACCAGATGAATCCAGTTCGTGGAGTCTCAAATCTTCCCTGATTCTTAGCAAGCCATGTTAGTTAAAGTCCATACCTTATTTTAATCGGTTCGGTGTTTATCGCCTTTGCCTTGGCCTCAATTTCCTTTTGATGAGAAGACTCATTCAATGAAGACTTTCTTTATTGGTGTATTATTAAAAGTGGGGTACAGCGATCGTAGTTGTGCTGGTTCAGAGTAAGCTTCCTTCTCCAAACAAACACAGACACAACCAGCTTAACAACTAGCAGGAAGGAGGCATAACACATACAGACCGATAGCGTCTCCCGCGGTATACTACAAGTTCCACCATCCATGTGCCAAAGATGCATTCGGGGTAATGTAAATCATCTCACCAAAAAACTACCCTGTTTGCAATGCACAACTTCGTACCCGAGCGATTACGAGTAACCACAATAGAACACCTTCGTGTAAAGGAAGACCACCCATTGGGTAAAGTAAAGGAAGCTTGCTTACTAATCGAAGAAAAATGACCACCGCCGATGGAATATGCAGAGACCACCCATAAGGCGCGATGCAATGCGCATTGGCCTGAATGCACCTCTTCGATGAGAAGCGCTCAGTGAACACAAATCCTGTGACGAAAGAGTCGTCATCGATTGGCGAGGAAGGAGATGTATGCTCTGAACGTGCGTTTCCCTAAACTTTGTTTCCTGTTTAAAATATTACTACCAAATAAAAATATCCCCCTACCCAGTTACTCTACTCACCTCAAGGCCATGAAAGCCAAGGCGGAAGAGAGGAACGCAGGATCTTTTGCCACTGGAAGTTAATCACCCTTATTCTGAATTTATCACCAAGTGTTCACGTCTCTATGGTTATGCGTCTGGTTAGTCTGACTATAAATATTCATACATAAAAAAGGGTTTGGTTTTTAATGGGGAAAACTCATTAAGACTAGATTGCTTCCAGATATTTATCATCATGGTCAATATTTATTAAATCGTAGGTCCTGCACAACCAAACTGACAGTTTGATTCGATCGCATTTTTCGCCAAATAGTCCATTCGGACGTTTGGACATTAGAACACTGGGACCTACTCCCACTCCTTCGGTTTGTGCATGACTCGCGTACCCTCTAACTTCAGTGCCCGTGACCTGCAACGATGTATGGTGATCCTAGATGTTAAGTTTATAAACTATCGAGCCTCCCATTCGCCCATCTACTCGTCCAATTCCTCATCCGTGCAGCCATCAGTTTATTTGGCCGTCCACCACTTCACCTAGCAAATGATGTCTACAGCCCCCCATCAGTTCACCTATGACAGACCCAACTATCCTTTCATCCATCTGCACATCATCTATCCTTCCTCGTATTCAACGGCGCAAAAGTCCGCTTCCACAAAACTATTTATGGCAGATTTTTTTCCTTCAAAGCGCTTGAAGGAGCTAACCGACGGCGTTTGGGAGACACATGGTGAGAAGGGGAAATGGGTTTGTCTTTATCAGCAAGATTGTTCAAAAATGTGCTCACTGCCTTTTCATCACGCTTCCACTGCGCCACATTGATTTTTACCGCCTCCAGCGTCTGTTGAATCACCCTTGGACAGGGCACGTCGTGCTCTTCGTAGAAGGCCTGAAAACATGAACAGTGGAGGGAGGTGTAAGAATTTGTCTAAGCCCGAAAAGTGGAATATTCAAAACAGAAAATTATCCTTACCTTAATCTCGTCGTAGCGTTCCTGCAAAGCAAAACTGGAAGCACTGCCCTAAAAGAATAGGAAATTAAACTTTTAGATGCTTCCATCTATGAAGTAGAGGATAGATGGTGGACAATTTAGATCCAATTAAACAAAAATAGCAAAAATACTGTCAGGAATTTATCCACCCATTCAGATATGTACGCCTCAGCAGAACCGATGACGGCTTCTAAATAGAGAACTGCTCCTCTTCTATTCACACCTCCTAGGTTTGTCCATTTTATCCCAAGCCAATCTCACTTGAATCACTTCATTTATTTCCAGGTCTTACAGCTTTCCACGCACTCTTCCATCCATCCATTTTCGCACTATTGCGTGCCATAGTACAATAGTTGGTGCTTCATTCAACCTACCACCAGAACCCTGGCAAGGAGGTGTGAGGTCCCCAGATCCTCTGACAGCGTTGCGATGCGAGCGCGCACGAGGTTCCACAGGGCCCGTCTACCACCCGCAGATCCGATGACGCTCAGGAGAACATGGAATCGGTCTTGCTTGCGCACGTCCTCCGTAAAGGTGAACTTGAAGACACGCTGGATGATGTCAGCGTTAGTGGTGGCGCCAAGACTGGAGAGGATGCGAACACGCTCGTCGTTCAAAGTCGCCTGGTTGTAAAGCTGTCGGTAGAGAAGGAGAAATTGCTAATTCTATCCCTTCCTTTCAACTCTCTACTCCTATTCTGCAAAATTCCTTCATTTCTCATTCATTTAATCTAGATGCATCTACTCATTCTTCACCTACTCGATATATTTATCCAAAATCCACCCTCTTCTTCATCTACTTCTCTAAAACCTTCAGCAGTATCCAATCATCAATCCAAGTCCGATACTAAACTTCCACAGCCTCCAAAACGTGACAGTCATGGCAAATGCTGGATGACACTTAATCTTCATTACTGACTCTGAAAAGTGGTGTTAAGTTTTTATCCGAGATCCCAGTGGTGCAGCACCACTAACAAAACCCATCCATCCGATTCTACCAAGTCTTTTAAACTTAAAGCTATTTAATTCCGATGCCACTTTACCTCAAAAAGCTTCCAAAACTCCTTATCTCCACCACTGCGCATGCAAATGGAGTAGACTGCAGTTCGGAGATCAGGCGAAATGAGATTTGACTGGTCCACCGCAGCCTCACCCACCGATGCAGAGATCACGGCTGCGTGGTGACGAGTAAAGGCAGTTTGGGCATTAGAGATAACATCACCGTGACCAATGCGACCGAGGATGGAGATGATAATGGAACGTAGGAGGCGGTCGTTGTTGGATTCAGTAGATATGGGTTTGAAACCTGAAGACAAAAGAGGAGAAAGTAGAGGGTGGTTTAAAGGAAGGGAAGATAGCTGCATACACATCATTTGAATCCATTCATTCACTATCCAGTAATCTTTGATTCATCGATTCATCTTTCATCAGTGCGTTCACTCGATTGATTTGAATCTTCTTCTGAAATAGATGTATCCATTTGCCACCCTAGGTATTCACTTCTCCATCCAAGCCCATTTCACCGAGTTGACCATTTTTGACTCACCTGTTCGTTCTGGAATTACCAATTTCCATGCACCCAATAATGTGTGGCCCGTTCAATTTACCATCTTGTCCCCAATTTCTAATCTTCTTTGCCATCTTTTTATCCAAGCTTCCACTCGCCCATTCTTTACCAGAACAAAGACAAAGCAGTTGGGGGGCAAAAAATCTACCGGATGATCTTTTCTAAGTTGTATACAGCCCTTCGTAAACTACCCGTCCATTAGCAGGTCTGTACATAAGACCATTTTGAAGTAAACTTATACATCATCGTGATTCAAGAAAGATGGAAAATCAATCTGGCATTATAATAAGCTTAGCAAGACTCACCGATCTTCTCATATACCGGCAACGCCAATTCCATATAAAGGTTGTTCAGCCCACAAGTCTCTCTTGATGCCTCGGGAAAAACCACCTCGTCTCCCACCGGGTAGGACGCCTCCTCAAGGAGGGTTTGGATCTGTGACAATCCCTCTGACAGTACTGACCACACACTGTATCGCGTCTCACCAACGAATGCTCGGCAGAACTGAAGTACCTTATCCAATCCTTGAAAACCTGCTCGGGCCAAAGCAAACTGATCGTCTAATAAGCTGACACGGTCACGTTCTGGCACAGCGCCTCGACTGATAGCTTCCAGAATGGTGTTCATCATGGCAGAATCGTAATGCACGCGGTAGAAACCGATGGCGTTCGGATTAAGACGAACTCGAGGACAGAGATCAGAATCAGGCAGGGCGTAGATGATTTCCTGAGATTTGACCTCGGTCTCGGGGGTAAATTGTTCTTCGTCGCCGTGCTCAGGGGTTTTGGTGGAGGGGGGTGAGGGGGAGGGGATATCAGTGACTATGCGAAGAAGGATACTTTTGGAGTCGTCCACAGCGCAAACGTCAATTGGGATGCGCCAGCAGACTAGTGTTTCCTCTAGACATTGAAAAGAAACTAGGTGAATTTCATCTCTGACCTTAATTTTGCCAAATGTCGCAAATCTAAGGCAGTGGTCTATTACAATACAAGAATACACCGTTAATGTAACCCCTTATATAGACTCGATAAAAAACCGGAATAGTGACAACTACTACTTTAGTGGATCCGTTTTGAGACGTAGGATAAGTGGACTTGAAAATGAAAGGGAATTAGAGCCAAAAAAGGCAGAAGTTGAAAGAAGAAACCAAGTGTTATTAAAGCGGCGATGAAAGAGGATTAAACTATTCAAATCTGGACACAAGAGCAAAAAATGGTCTCTCACCCTCAGTAGAGCTGCTATCAGCAAGGAATCGCTGCTGTTTCAGTCCGATGCTGTACGTTCCATCGGGTGCGCAAATGAGACGAACAGACAACACGGGATAGCCTGTCTGTCTCGTCCACGGCGACATGAGTTCAGTCAGATTGTCAACGCCAGTGGCCTCCAAAGCCGTCCACAAGTCCTGCGTTTCAGCATTAGAATACTTGAACTTCTTGAAGTAGGATTTTAGGCCCGCTTCGAAGCTCTGCAAAAGACATTTGACGCAACTATTGCGTAATTTGCCATCGCAGGCTTCAAGTCCCAGTCCAGGTAAAGACGATAATAAGCGTGTGGTAAAAGGCATTCTTATGAGTAGGGGAGAAAACATAAACCAACAGATCCACAAAAGACTTCAATCACAGTAGTACGGTAATGACAGGACGCTCAACCTATCAGCAGTAAGTGTCGAGCATCAACGTTTCTCAGACAATCGCAGTTGGTCAGTGATGTCATTGAGGATGGTAATTTCTGACCTACAGATCTGACACCAATGCCTTATAATGATCATCCAGCACGCAGAACGCCTAACGAACGCATGACCTCTGGTGAAATCACAGAAGAGGTGAATGCAACTGTACAAGGTAAGACCATAGCCATTAACAAGCACATACAACCTAAAAAAAAACCTGGCACGCTTGATAACAAGACAGTTTTTGGACTTTGATCAGCAGAGAAAGTTTGAAAGCTCTAATGGTTAGAAGTATTTTTCAGAGGGAAGGTCACAATTTACCTGATAATGTTTTGTGAAGAGACTTAAGCACCCTGAAAGTTGACATTACTGCACCGATGACGAAACGAACCAACATACCCTGGAATACCTTAAACTTATCGACAAGTCCTTCTCTACGAAAGCTATTTCCCATGTAGAAGCACATGAAGGTAACAAGTAGTGAATAAGAAAGGAAAGGAACTGGGAGCAGATAAGAGAACAGGCGAAAGATTGATAGCTCGCAACACTCACAGAGGCACCCATGTAGTTGTAAAGCATGCGAATGACACAACTGCCCTTCTGGTAAGACACCGCGTCGAAGATCTCCTCCACCTCTTGGGCACTGTTTACTTCAACCTTGGCAAAAAAAGTGCAAGAGAACAGGCTGCTCTATGCTACTAATAAGGGGTTTTGTAGCGATTAGAAAGCGAGCGGGTAAGTAGTGAATAAAAATACTCAACAAATAGCAAAACCTTTTGCAAACCTGAATGGGATGACTGCTTTTCAACTCGTCTAATCGCAGTGCTCGAATATACTCCCTCGACACGAAGAGGGTCTAAAAAACAATGAAGATAGATCTTTTGAAAAGGACCATAGAGCAGCTTGACTAAAGAGCAAAGAAAAACAACAAACTTTCAACAGAATAGGGTTTGAGGGAGGAGTATCATTTGGCCGTATCTGGGTGAGATATGCATCTACTTTTGCCTGGAAAGTAAACTGTTGATCACGCAATTTTTAAGCCACTAAGAAATAATTAAGGCTGCCATTCTGGGCTAAAGACAGCTCATCTCTACAGAATGAATACAAACCAATCACGAGACACCAAAACAATGGCACATCTTTTACCGCCTGAGTAATATGGGTGGTTGACGCACATGTGCGCCATGAGAGCCAATTCACCCTTGTTTACATGTACTCGATATGGACATTACAATTAAAATGTCACCTTGTCCGTGAGTGCCTAAAATTGTTCAAAAGTGACCGCACTGGTGCCTTGGTTACAACACACCTAGGACACCTAGATGACTACAACCACCAGAATGAGAAAAACAACTTCCAAAGGGAATCCATAAACCCAGGTGAATCAACTTTTCGGCGGAAAGCTGAATGAGAGTCTTGACGGTTGTAAGCAAAGACCATGACACAGAACAGCCTTCCATCTGTTGTAATGGCTATGGAAATTTTCTGTAATATGTAGTCACGCCAGATTTTTTAAGTTACATTCTAATCTTCCAAAACCCAACTCCAAAAAGTCTATCGATCACTCACAAACCCTCCAGAAACTTGAAATATCTTCCAAGAGATCAAGATTTTGTCAGTGGATTAAGTTAAGCAATGCAGATGTCGAACCGCCTTGGCTTAAGGACAAAAAAATTATCATGGCAATCAACTACGTAGACCGTGCTAGTTGATTTTCCTCTGAGCGCCTAGTCGTAATTGGCAATAGCTTCCCAGTGGTCGGACACAAAAGAGCTACATGAAGATATCTAGACGAAGAATACACTTAATTAGCTAGCCTTAGAATATCGCAAATCTGATCACGTGCTCCAAGCAAAGGAACAAGACAGCACTTCCAGCCGGACAATAGAGGAGAGAATTTATCAATGGGGGTCCTCGGATGCTGCGGTATGTCCAGTTGCATAGTCCAGATTCGGCTCTATCCCATTTCAACAACTAAGTAATTTTAAGCACCAGAGATCATAATGATTAGGACGACTTACCCAAATGTCGTAGTCAGGAAAGCAGTGATCCACAGCAAGGTATTCGGCCCACGTCGCGAAGCCCTCATTAAGCCACAGATCTGTCCACCACGACATTGTCACAAGGTTACCGAACCACATGTGTGACACCTCGTGTGCCACTGTCAGCGCTACGTTCTGTTTTGACGAAAGAGAGGAGTTCTCCGGGTCGATCAAAAGCGCCGTCTCTCTGGAAACATGGGCGAATAGAAAGGCAATAAGTGAGAAAGTGGTGTGAGGAGAGCATTGCGAGAGCCTTTGGAGGCTAGCTGAAATTTGATTCTTAGGCTGATGGTACGGAGCCCCACTTATACCGGAAATAATCTCACATTCATTACCATATCTGGCGACTAATATCACTTTGATTTTATATTCCTGCAAGAAATAATGAATTCCACCCAACCCATAACACTGAGCATCTTTGGCAACAGCTTTCAAGGGCAATTACGTGGTCTCTAGACCATCGTATGCGGTGAAGGTTAAAGTTGTAAGAACAGAGCACTTCTTCGTTAACCATGATATAACCTGAGAAATTGCCGTCCATGACCGAAAAAAAACTGAGACAGCTTCGTTTGTTCTACATGGCCTCCGCATCATTATCAACAAAAATCTTGCTATTACTGAGAACCACGCCATACTTCCAAAATCCTGTCTCATAAGGTCTTACCACCGCTAACGCGGTCTAAATTTAGAGAATAAAGCGGGTTTCAAGACCTCGGATGGATGCATGACTGAGGAGTAAATGGTATAATGGCTTTCTCAAACCTGTTGCCTTCATCTGTCTTCACGCATGATTAGAACCTCAGTGAATACTTAACCGTGTTTTGAGTATTGTAGAGGAAGCATCAACATCAGCACGTCTAAGATGTTTAAGAAACTAACGTATTTATATCTCTATATACTAAAATAACGCTGTAACGCTGGTATGAAGTTTGAAAAACACCACGGTGGTCAAAAGCAAAGCTGCATGTCCCAAAGCACGCCCTATGAATCAGTAGGTCAAATCCAAGTCACCATCTTAACATCAATTGATTTTGAATCAACCGTCTTGCTATAGAGGTCATATACTGTTCAAACGTGCGTAATGGACTAAATTGGATGTCGTAATCAAAAGGCGATAGAAGCGGAGATCAAATTTTATCTAGTCAAGCAGACGGTTTGATGCGATCGTGATTAAGCAGCAGCAAAAAATAAAGGGTCAATATTAACCTCTTAAAAACTCACCTATAGGTCACCAAGCCCCAATTCTCCATCGCATTGCAAGCAAAGTCCGGAATCGCAACTAGATCCAGCTTTGGCAGTGGATAGGGGGATCCAAAAAGCTTTGCATAGAAAGGCAGTGATTTCTTCACTACCGTCAATGCATGCTGTCCGAAGTCGCGCTTGCCCAGCGGCGTGTAAACTCGAATTTCTACTTCCGGTGGTGATGCCTTTGTGGATTTCTCTGTCTCAGATGCAGAGGATGAGCAGACGTTGCTAATGTCGTTTCCGGGGGCCATGGCAGAGATGTACTCGAAATCTCCCAATACCATGGCAACAATGTAGGTCGACATAATTGGAGTGCGATCAAACGTGATCTTGACATAGTTGTGACCATCAAGGGGTTCGCTGCAGCCCTCCGGCGTTGGTACAACGTCACGAGAGATCTCGGGCTGGAAAGAATTTGAAATAATAAAATGAAAAACAACATCAGCGTATATTTTTCGACGTATTCTTCACAACCCTTACTATCCATATATGCTAAATAGTCCATTCTCCGGTACTGGTATATCTTACCACAACCTCAGCGATGACTCACACCGACACGGTGATGATAAAAAGAACCCGATTTGAAGACAATGCAGAGTTGGGTGTTTAGATACCTAATATGCGTACCATATAATGAAGGTATCTACTGTGGATGCACGAATTAGCGCACATGGCACCAAATAGTTGAAAAGGCGCCAGCTTTGGCAAATTTGCTATCCAAACTAGGGGAGGCTGGTGTTAGCCAAAGGGGCATGGTCAGACATATGTCAAAGGCGAATGGAGGGTAAAAAACGATTTATCCGAACCTTTTCGGTAACCTATAAGGCCATTCGACACAACGCCACAAAACGCTAAATCTTCTTCAGGTCTACGGATCTCAGTCTGCTTACCAGAGACAAAGCGTGGTACGAGGATTCCTATCAAAATCAGGAAGATGCGAAGAAATTCGATTTGCTGCGTTACGGCAAGCACAATGCATACTACATGACCCTGATCGCATTCTACCAGTATGTACTTCAGTAATCAGGCTTATAAAAAAAGAACAAACCTTTACACAATAAGAGTTTTCTTGCCAGCTAGCCTTAAATGTTTCAATTCATAAGAAGTTTGGATAACTTCCTCTCAAATGTAACAGAAAAAGGTATTGGAAAGTGGTTTAACCAAAGGCCAACAATGACCATAGACAATCAGTAAGCAGCTCAAACATCCTCATGAACCTTCTCACGTAGCCCTGTCGAGGACGCGTTAAACATTACAACGTAAAGTCCTTCTTTAGAAGCAAATTTGACTTTTAAAGAAGTTCAAATCAAGAATCGTTACAAAATATGTTACAATCATAATTCCCTCCATCTATCAAAAGTAGGACAGAGACTAGCCTGAGCGAATTCGTAAGCCATAAGAGCTCCAAAAGAGTTGCTATTGACGAATTGCAAGACTAGATAAAAACTAACCATGTTTGAGAGGGCAACTTGGTCGTCAAGAGCAACGATGCTGATTTCAAAAGTCGCTTTGCGATCCGGTTCATCCATGCACGGAAACGCTCGACGTGCAAACACTGACTAAAGAAATCAACAGCATCCTGTATAGGAGCTAATTACAGGACAGATTGTTAGAAGCTGTAGAACTTGCCTCAAATTGCGTTGCAATAATGTTGTATTTTTTGCCCATTACATCCGTATAAGTGCTATGATAAAGACCCAGCATATCATTGGCAAATTTTCCATGGAAGTCCAGGTTTAAATATCCTTTTCCAGACTAAATAAGGCAAAATACGTTACGAAAATCACTACACAATCAACCTGAAGTTCAGTGGGGAACCCAAATATAACTATTTCCTGCTCTTCATCGTATGTAATCGTAGCTAGAGCTAAAATTTTTGGTTGATTTTATCAATAGGTTAAATAAGCTTACTATCGTGGTATGTTGCAGATAATATTTCAAGCCCTCGAGAGTTGAAAATTATTCGGTTGGTTGGTTCGATCACCTTAAACACAAAGGAACTCGTGCAAAATAAAAAGGCCAATGGTTCCCGATCCAACTACAATAAGGACAAAGCTCTTAGCAACACGAATTGCAAAAAATATGAGTCCTAATAAAGGGAAATGGAAAATCAATGAGCAAATAAAACGCGAAAGACAAATTGAGAGTTACCTGTAACTCTACGGAAGCACGAGCGGTGAACGTTAGGCTTGAAAAGTTGGGGACAAAGTCGAGCCTGTAGTTGACGGGTTTTACTACTCTCGGGAGTCGATAATGTCGAGCAATGTCCTCAGCCATAATCTCTGCGTCTGCAAGAAATGCATGAACAAAAAACGAGATGGAACGACTTTTAATAACATAGGTCGCCGAGCGGAATAGTTGTCGAAACATTTAAACAATTCATGATATAATAGAATTTATCTAAAAGTTGGGCTCTAGAACCATAATTCTAGCAAAATTCTGTTTTACGCATTTAGTGTTATTTTTGTGCAGCTTCATCTTGAGTAACCACTGAAAGAAATCCCATAAACTCTTACCGTACAATTACTTCAATTGTAGTTAAATTACCAATCAGTTAACATAATAAGGCAAACTGGACTTTTTTACCTCGAACTTTCAGCAATGTTAAATATTTATTATGGGACGAATTGCTTTGCGTGCGACAGTTTACTTAGGACAGTTTGCCCAAATCAGTCGAAAATTGTTTCATTATTTCTTTTGTAGATCTCTTGTACTACGTTAGCTTATCACTGGTATAGAAACCTGGATCTTTGCAATTTTTTAAGTATACTATGTCTGGCCCTTATCTCTTCCTCTTTAGTCTACGTTCCCTTCCAATGGGAAGTCGGACTATGCAGGGTCTTTTTTGGACAATGTGATGAGGAGGGAGCAGAAGTCAGGACAACGCACGCCTCGAGTACAATTTTTTCACCTCATCGATCGATGATGACTATATCATAACGCGATTTGTGCTCACTGAATGCTGACATTTATCACACATCTCCCCGCTCGCCTTTTTGAGCACTGTTAAAGGTGCACCCTTTATGGGTGGTCTCTCTATATGCCATCAGCTGTGTTCTTCCTCCTTTTATTATGCAGACCATATCTTCATATCCATGACGTAGTGTAGCTCTTTGAGAAGGCATCATGTTTTGATAAAGGCTGATTAATTGAATGCCGCGTTATGCATTGTAAAGGAGACAGTCTGTTAATGAGATGATATCCATTTCTCGGAATGCTTCTTTGATCCATGAATGATGAGACTTAGGACGAAATCCAGGTGACGGGACAAGCCTGTATATCCGCACCAGGCTTTCTGCTTGGTAGATATCATTCTCACTGTGTATTCTGTAATAGATATTCTGCTTGTGATATGGCAGTCGTAAACGTTCACGCTTAAAACTGAAAGATTTCCTTATGCTTTCTTTTAGTCATTGCGCGTCTCCCCTGACATTGTTACTACTCCATTGTCTGGTAAGAATTACCTCAAGGTTCTATTAATTTGCTACATATCAGCATGTGCGGACAGCGGGCCTGTAGGAGAGGAGGATCCGTTTTAGCCTTAAATCATAGCCTTCCGACAGTGCATCCTCAGTGAAAGCCTTCTGTAGTCCGATCCGAATGCGTTTATCCCCTTAATCTGTCCATTGTCTTGCAGATTTTAGCTGTAAGTGTAGATTGGCAAGTGAGATGGTAGATCTATCATCCTACTTAAAAATCCATCAACATCCATGTGGTGTAACTCATAGTTACTTCAAAATGACGTTCAGAAGTTAGTAGATGTGTAGAACTAGATGGATAGACAGACGTGCATTCGTAGGTAGAAGAATAGGAGAATATAAAATTAAGCCGTCAATTTTGGTATTTACGTCATGTCTACCAACACAAGTGTGTGGGATACTAATCAAATAGTGTGATTTTCCACGGACTCCCAAGCACTCATCATACCAACACAATTGTGGAGGCTGTGTGGGTGCTTGAATGGTTAAAGACACCAATTTGTTCTTCACGCCTGAACATGACAGACGTACCGCGTCGATCATTCTCCAGAAGGCACCGACTTATAGGCTCACATCAACCCTCTCAGCAGTCACGTTTTTTTTATTTACACCTTTCAAATGGACATTTGGGTCATCAGGAAGAGTAGTTTGAATTATAGGCAGGCGAGGAATTCAGAGATTACCCTTAATGGTTATTCGCGGGAATAAGTCATTAAATTTTGCAAGATTCTTCAGTCTCGGGCCATGTTGTACCAATTCTTTGCCAGTAAAATAGGCCAAATACGTCAGAAATTGCAAAAGATGTTTAGAAATGGGCAACTTAAAGATAAATACCAGGAATTTACTGCTACGAGATAGTCTTCAGTGGTAGGACAAACATGACTGTATTCCCTAGGTCATCGTGGCCTCAGTAGGAAAAAAAGCCACCCCATATTTCTCCGCGCATTCTTCAAATCACCATCCTCCATCTCAAAACGCTTTTATTCATCTGTACAGTCAGGACTTCCAAGCAATAACAGAGCATGTACCATAACGCACTCCTCAATTGTGACGCGTTCTACGGAGAACGGATTTCAGGGTATGGCCAACGTGAGTGTTTCCTTCGGATAGGTGTTCATTTCCATAGTCATGTATTCAGGTATAGGGGTCGGATTTTCCTCTTCTCGTACCTACTCATTCTAGGTTCATGGCACACTGAAGGGCGGGTGATGTGTTGTGCCCGATTACAGGGTGAGGAATGAGGAACGCAAGACCACTTTTGTGTAACTAGAGAGACAAAATGCAGGTGAAAGGTAAAAATAAAAGGTAGAAAGAAGTGGTTTTTGTGCATGAATGCAAAGATCGATCAACTGAGGGTCAAACAGACAATTTAGCATCTTCCATAAAATGTCATGCTATCGTGGCGGTTCCTTACAGAGTGATGCAGATCAAGTGTCACCTCACACCACTACTAGTGGTAGAGGCAAATACCGTGTCATGTGTGCATCGGCACAGTTGCACCTACTTCAGTAAGGTGAGGTGCAGTGCGCACCAGGCACCGTCAATCATGCTGACAGTTTAGAATGTGGGTGTGTGTGCATGTTGATTAAGACGTGAGAGATCTCTTGTGATAGAGGAACTAAAGGCTTGCACTAAGGTCTTATTGTGCAGCTGTTGTCAAGCGCCACACAGGCCGCAGGTGGTGACTCTGAGTCACTCAGCATGAAGACATTCGAATGGTGGCAATGTGTCAAAGACGGTATTGGGTATGTCTGTACATCTGTTTGTCTACATGTCTAACCATCTGCAACAGAATCAGTATATGTGTATGTACACTTGTAAGTGATGATGATAGTCGTGGTGGCTGTGGTGGCAGTGGACAGCCTCGGCGCGCAAATTTAATGTGTGGGATGCTGCCTCATCACGTGTGAGGTGGATAGCTGACGCACAACCTCTGATGTTGCGAAATTTGATAACAGGTGAATCAGAGTGTGGGAGTGATAAATGCATTTTCCTTGTAGGGACGTCAAAGAAATAAGGAAGCTTACTAAGTAAGTACTCCCAAGGGGTAACCTTTGGGAAATTTGTCACCACAATCCAGTGTTCTGGCATGTCTCAGTCACGCAGACAATCCTTTACATGTTGAAGCGTGAGGTGAGATCAGTGTGGAACTGTGACGGTGACCCATGTCACAAAGAATAAGTGTCCATTCCCTTCTTCTTCATCCTCCTCTTATACTTCTTACTCTGCCTTTTCAACTTCAGATTTTGCAAAATAGGGGATGTTTACTTCACTTAACCACCTGTTGCAGACGGATTTAAGTGGAAGAATTTGATATTGTGATAGAGTAGAACACCAAAGGCACAGGCGATTTCGCCTTTAATCACTAAATCCGCTAGTTTTATCATCGTCTATAAAACCAATGTCTTCTAATTTCGTGAGCGTTG